AAGTGAAACAGATCAAATTCTATAGGTAGGGAGTAAATTCTTGACGAAACAAGGAATAGAATGAGTTAACAAAAGATAAAGTAAACCATTTTGATTATGTGAAACTGGAAAGCTTTTGCATGGATACAATTTATGCAACTAGGATAACAAGGGGTAGTAGTCAAGTAGGGAAAAAACTTTGCATCAAATTGATCTCTGACAAAGTCCTGATATCTAAGATGTGTAGACATCTAATAGAAACACACAAGACCAAAGGCCATTCCCCAATAAGATGCAAGGAGTCTCAGAAGTCATCTAGTTCAACTCCCTTATTTTAGGAGACTGAGGCCCAAGGAGGTTAAGTGACTTACCTAAGCATGAAAGGTGGGATTCAAACCCAGGACTGCTAACATTATTCTTTCTGATATACAAGTTAAGCAAGTAAATGATTTGAACAAACTGTTCTAACATGATAGTATTTCAAACTGTTAGCAACCACATGAAAGGATGCTCCAGATCACTAATAATATAAGAGAAATGCAAATCAAGGTAATTGGCAATTTCACCTCACACCCAACAAGCTGGTAAAGATGACAAAAGATGGTAATAGTCAATGTTAAAGAGGTTTGTTCGTGGAGTTGTGAGATAGTCTAACCATTCTGGAGAGCAATTTGAAAGTATTCGAGAGGGGCAGCTAGGTGACGCAGTGGATACAGCACCGACCCTGAAATCAGGAGGACCTGAGTTCAAATCTGACCTCAGACCAAACACTTGACACTTACTAGCTGTGTGACCCTGGGCAAGTCACTTAACCTCAACTGCCAAAACATTGTAGAAAAAAAAAAGAAAGTATTCGAGAAAGTGACTAAAATACCCATGCCCTTTGACCCAGAGATTACCTTAGTAGGTGCATAGCCCAAGAAGGTCAATGACAAAAAGAAAAGCCCATATCACACCAAAATCCTTATAGCAACACTTTCTGTATTAGCAAAGAATTGGAAAGAAAGTAGATAACCATCATTTGGAGAATAAATAAATTGTGGTACGTAACTATAATGCAATATTTCTGTGCTATTAAAAAACAATGAACATACTGAATTCAGAGAAGTATGGAAAGATTTAGAAGGACTGGGGCAGCAAGGTGGTGCAGTGGATAGAGCACGGGCCCTGGATTCAGGAGGACCTGAGTTCAAATCCGGCCTCAGACACATAACACTTACTAGCTATGTGACCCAGGGCAAGTCATATAACCCCATTGCCTAGCTAAAAAAAAAAAGATTTAGAAGGACTCACAAAATGAAGTAAACAGAATCAGGAAAACAAGTTACACAATGACTACAACAATGTGTATAGAAAGAACAGCAATAACCTATTGAAAATGAAAGCTATGGGTAGCTAGGTGGTGCAGGGGATAGAGCCCCAGCTTTGGAGTCAGGAGGACCTGAGTTCAAATCTAGCCTCAGACACTTGACACTTACTAGCTGTGTGACTGTGGGGAAGTCACTTAACCCTGATTGCCTAGCCAAAAAGCAAAAAATAAAATAAAATGAAAGCTACAAGATTATGATGACCAAGCTTATCCTCAAAGGAGAGATATGAGAAGACATCTTCCCCCGATTCTTTGTTGTTCTTTCTACCTTGGGTATGGAACAATGACTATGTCATCAGACTTTTTTTTTAAATATTTGTTAGTTTTACAGATTTTTTAAAAAATAAGAATGACTCTCAGATGGGCATGTAGTAGAGATGATACAATGGGAAATGTAGGTGATATTAAAACAAAAGATAATAAAAATACTTTTAAAAATGACAATTTCAATAATCTAGGTAATAGGTCATGGTATTCTGAACTAGAGATTGGGCATATAAAGGAAGAGGCGGATGTAAAAGCTTGTAATTGTGGATGTTAGAGCTGGAAGAGGCTTTAAACCATAAAAAGTCAGAGCTAGAAGAAAGAACATAGAATGTTGAGAACTGAGAGGAAATTCATAGCTCAAACCATTGCAGCCTCCTCATTTTGTACTTACAAATCAGCTAATCCCCAAAGAAACTCAGGCAGTCATAATGTGTTGAATAAAACCTCTAGCTTGATTGCATGTTCCCATATTCATGAAAATAAGAATGTTTAGAGCTAGACAATGCCACCAGATTACACAGTCCCTGGCATGAGAAGTAGCAATAACCGACCAAGGAACCCCCAGCTGTGTGGCCATCCAAAGCCCAGTGAATGGCGTCCCACGAGGGGGTTGGGAAAGGATAGACAGCAAAATATCAGTTTTGCACACTTTTCTTTAACAATTTTCATTTCCCTGCAGATATGATGTGAAACCTGAGCTCCCCCTACCTGAGTCTGGCAAAATCTATTTCTTCCCCTCACAATATCTTTGCTTTGCAGGTCAGAGATCAGGAAACTACCAAGCCCGCTGAATGATCAGAAAATGCCACAAGAAGATGGTGAGTCAGAAACTGGAAGAGCTCCCTCCCCTGGGCAGCCAGACGGAATCTCTTCCCCTGAAGGGGCAGCGGCTGCAGAAGATGGCACAAGCTGCAGATATGCTGAAGAAGGTTAGATCCGTGGGGGTTGTGGCTTTGATATGAGTAGCTTAGAGCGAGAGGCTAAGAAGCGCAAGGTGATGGGTTCGGTCTTCACGTGGGTGACTGCTCTAAACAGTGGCAATAGCCAAGCCCGACCGGCCGTCTCACAAAGATGTATGCCGATGAACCATCCTAGGAAGCTCCCTGTCTTCAAAGCCACCATCTACAGACTTGTCTCCCCAGAACTACAACCTCAGGAAGAGTGGTATGCTGGTAAATGTTTAACAGCCAGCTCTGGTGGGGAGGGGAGAATGTGCACAGATTGAGCTTTTAAGTTTAATTTACATTATTAGCATTTTCTCCATCAATTTCGTAAGTCTAGACAATCAACAAAACAATAAATCAAGCCCTAATTTGTGGCATTTTCCAATTTCTGAGGTACGATGATCACCCTGTAAATTTAACCGTCGGCTCTGGTGAGCTGGTTGGAGCTGCCTCCAGCATACCACTAGCCTTTCCTCCAACTGCCAATCCTTTCCTTAGCTTTTGTCTTTTTTTTTTAAGGCAATTGGGGTTAAGTGACTTGCCCAGGGTCACACAGCTAGTAAGTGTCAAGTGTTTGATCTGAGGCTGGATTTGAACTCAGGTCCTCCTGACTTCAGGACTGGTGCTCTGTCCACAGCGCCACCTAGCTGCCCCCCTTAGCTTTTGTCTTTCACAGGTCACTTGCAGACTAGGCCTCTGGAGAAAAGACCAAAAAACAGGATATTATAAGGGCATAAACTCAATACAGGACATTAATTTTATGAGAAAAAGAGAGCACAGTTGTTCTCCAAAGGCCCATAAAGCAGAAATAAAGGCCAGAGAGAAGAAGTTCCAGAGAGGTGATTTCAGCCCAGTATATGGGAAAACTTTCTAACAATGTGATGTAGTGAGTTTTCTGTCTCTAGAAGTACTCAAGCAGAAAGTGAAACCTGTCGAAGATGACTTGGTGGGGATTCTGACATCTACGTGAAAGATCATTCTAGAGGATCTCTGAGATCATCTCCACTCTGGAGATTTATGATTCTATGAGATGGAAGTAGAAGATGGAAACAAAGTCTGGCTCGTAGAATACATTTTACTTATTGAGGGATTTAGGATCTTTAGGGGTTGGAAGGGACCTTAGAGCCCACTGAGTCTAGGCTTAGAGTCGTTAAAGGACTTGCCCAGAGTCACGCAGCTAGTAAGTGTCTGAGGCTGTCCAAACATGGAAGAATATAGATCTTCCTAACTTCAAGTTCAGCGCTTGCATTCCTCTGGCACACATCTCTCCAAGAAGTCTATCCTGTTCCCATCCCAGGTCCTTCTCAGATTTCCCCCAAAAAAGTCTTAATTTTCCTTCTAATTTCTCTATCCTCTGCTCTCAGTTAGGGCCAAGCCACCCTGATAAGCTCCACCGACCTGACACAGAGTACTTTTTTTCGGGTCTCCAGATTCTGACTTCTCCTTCTTCCTCTGGTTGTCCTCTGCCTCCTACCCACAGTGGAAAGAATGCTTGAATTTGGAGTCAACCTGAGTCTGAATCCCTGCCCTGACACTTACTACCTATATGATCCTGGACAAGATCACTTGCCCTCTTTAGTTTCCTCATATGTAAAATGGAAAAAGCTCTGTCAAATGTGAAGGGTTATTGAAATGTGAGTCAATATTAGTATCAGTACTGTTGAGTATTATTATTATTATTCCTGGGCGATGCAACATGATGTAGTGTATTTTGGAGGAAGGGGAGGCAATTGGAGTTAAGTGACTTGCCCAGGGTCACCTAGCTAGTAAGAATCTGAGGTCAAATTTGAACTCAGGTCCTCCTGGACTCTGGGACCAGTGCTCTATCCACTGAGGCACCTAGCTGCCCCATGATAGAGTGTGCTGAGAACTGACCTTGGAGCCAGAAAGAACTAGGTTCAAATCCTGCCTCTAAACCATGCTGACTGTGATCCTGAGTAAGTCATTAACTTAAATTCTTAGTATTCTAAATGACTCTCTAAGGCTATAAGATCTGCACTGAGGGAGGGAGTTTCCTCATCTTTACACCAAAAAAATTATAGGTATATTCCCTTATCCCTTTTATGAGTTGCCTTGGTCCAAGATGTCATTACAAATGGACAGTCTACTGGTGCTAAGCCTCTCCATGCTTAACTAGGCCAGTCCTCAGATGACTGATGCAGCCCATCACCAAGAATCATATTTGGAACTTTCCCAAAACCTCCCAGAGTTTATGTTCTACTGGCATAGCCTTTGACAACCTGAGGTCACCTCCAGGCATCAAGGTAAGATTTTTGAGGAGGAACAGCAGATAGATGGCCTGTTTGTGGCACGAATGGCCAAGCAATGTTAAGAGACTGAGAGGAAGTTTTCCAGCATGTTGAGTTGACCTCCCCCCCTTTGGGGGATTGATGGGATGACATAGATAAGATTCATGCAAGATGAGAAGGCATGGATGGGATGTAATCTTCACTGTAGATGGGTGTACTCACCATGCTGAGATCACAGCTCCATCCAAGTACTGAAGCATTGTTATAACTTTGTCTCCTTTGAGACCTGGTCAGCTCTGTCTTTCTTTCCTAAAGAGTCAAGACAGGAAGTACTTGTTTACCTATTAGCAATTAAACTTCAATAACAAAGCTGTAGTCATTGACTATGGCCCAAGCCCCCTTTCGTTGACAGGCTGTCTAAAAACTACCCCAGCTTTGAGTCAGGACCCACGAAGAACCACAGCTCACAAGTCCTCCACTGACGTTTCTTTTACCAGCCCAGCCAGATAGAGGATGCACTAATTCCAAGCAAAAGCCATTTAGAGAGTACAGTAACATAAATGACGAGGGGAATTACCGCCTTTCCCCTAAGCACATGGCTACACTCTCCCCCAGATTCCCTTCTCCATAATAGGAGAAGGAAAACACATGCATAAAGAACACGTGTCAATAGTTCATACAGGTAGCCGGGGCAACACATGATGCTAGGGCTACATCCCCACTGGAACCCCTCTCTGCTGCTTGATTTCCTAAACAGCCTCCAATGCCATCTGTTGGTCCAAGGATACATATATCATTAGACTGCGAGTTGTTTTCTTTGCTACTACAAACAGCTGGGGTTCTCTCATTGTCTTTTTTCTCTACTGCCTCACCATCTGCCAAAGTTTCTACAGAGTGGACCTTCTGCTGGGTCTCCACTGTTGCCACCTGCTGGATCTCCCCCTAAATTACAATTACTAATCCAAGGTCTAGCTCAGCTGTTTCACGTTCAGAACCAGCCAACCAGGGGAGCCCTCAAGCTTTGTCTAGCTTTTTAACTGAGCCTGGTGTACTATTTGACTTAGTGTGAGTGAATCCTATTCTACTCTTATCATATTCCCTAGTTTATACAAAGTACTCTAGAAGCTTCACTTAGCAAGACAAAAAGGGGGTTGGTAAGGCTGCCAACCTTTGCTAGTAAGTAATCTTTGTACTGCTTTCCTGCCAGGAGCAAAGTTGATGCTTCCTTATAAATGATATCCCCATTGGACCTTTGTGTGAGATCTCATACCCACTCAGGCACATTCAGCAGGGAGTGAATTGCTACAGCTGGTCATAACAGAGCACTAGTCAAGTGTGTGCATTGAGTCAGCTCGCATCTGTGCTCCATGTAGCAACCTCAATACCATGCCCACAAAAGTGCCACCTTCCCATCCAAAAGAAAGCCCATAGTCTGTGTATCGCTGCACATCACATTCTCTCAGAGTATTGCCCATAGCAGACCACCAAAACCTAATCAGAAGAAAATACTAAAGGAGTTGGAAAATAATGAGAACTAGAGAATAAAAAGTCACATCTTACGGGGGATATCCCTGGAATTTATGTCCCCAGGAATAAATTAGTACTTGTCTAGGAGATGGTCCCAGAGCCTGAATCACCCTTAGTGATACTTCCGCTTTTAGTTCTTCAAGACTTTAATGAATCTTTGCTCTCCCCAATATAGGTACACCCTTCACTTGTACAGATCACAGCCCTCACCTGTGCAGTTCTCATCCTTGTCCTCTCATTAATCTTCTGCCAAGGACCCACCCCATGTTCTGGAGGTCCCCCTCTTGGACTATGAACATTCCATGCCAGGGCAGCACCCATCTGCTCTCTCACCCTACTGATTAATGATCAACAATCCCAGGTCCTTTACTGATCATATATTTCCTGAGTGATGTCATCTATACCACTTTAATGGAGAGATGTAAATCACCTGTTTCCTATGGCTAATAATCTTTAAGCAACCTAGAAGTAAGTTCTAGGTCATGTTCCTGAGCTCAGCAGATCTGCCCTTCTGCAAATTACTTGTCCTCAGCCTTGTTATTTTCTGCCCTGTAATATAAGAGATGGTTCCTCATAGCCAGCAAATAGAGCAGTATCACTAGCTGTCTCTCCTTCCCCAGGAAGGGCTGCAGAGCTGTGTAGCATTCACAGTGAGTGACCTGGGCTTTGCACATCCAGCCCTGCATTCTTCTTTCTCCCTGCAGGAGGTGAGCAGCTGTTCCGCTCTGTGGAGGGTCAGGCAGCCTCGGATGAAGAGGAGGAAATGTGGCCGGGGGAGCAGCAGACCCAGGTGGCTGAAGTGAAAAAGCTACTGGCCCGCATTTCGAGCTGTGGGAGCGGGTATGTCTCACTTAGAATCATGGAATCGGAGAATGTCATCTCTGCCCCAACCCCACTCCTGACCCCCATAGAGTAACAAGCTCATTGTGCACGGGGGTGGTTTCTTGTTTCATCTCTACATCCATGGTGAAGTAGCAAAGAGTTTTGATTCTAGAGTCTAAAGTCTGTTGTTGTTCAGTTGTGTCCAACTCTTCATGACCCCATTTAGGGAAAGATACTGGAGTGGTTTGGTCATTTTCATTTTACATTCATTTACATACTCATTTTACAGATGAGGAAAGTGAGGCAAATAAGGTTAAGTGACTTGCCCAGGGTCACACAGCTTGTAAGTGTCTGAGGCTGGATTTGAACTCAAGTCTTCCTGACTCCAGGTCTGGCACTCTATCCATTGGGCCACCTAGCTGCCCAGAGTCTGGGGATCTAAGTTTAAATCCCAATTCTCTTACTACCTATGACCTAGGCAAATCATCTAACCTCCCTGGGCCTCAGTTTCATCATCTGTAAAATGAGTAGGGTGGCCTCTGGAGCCCTTCTAACTCTGCATCTATGATCCTATAATCCCAAATGCTTTGTACATAGTAGGTACTTAAATAAATATCCAATGTTGAGTTGAGTTGGAAGGGACCGTAGTTCTTCACAGAAGTTGGTGGGCATAATGATGTGGGGAGCCCATGATTAGAGATCGTGCTCCTTTCTTCTCAGGGAGTCTCTGAGGATACAGAGCCCCACGACAAGATGAACGCTTTCCCTACTGAGCCCCAAGATTGTTCATAGAAACAAATAGCAGTTAGGGCAAGGACAGCATCTCACCTAAATTTACCATCTCCTCTTTGTTCAATGCTTTCTGAACACAGTAGGTGTTTGCTTGATTGATTGATTGAATGAATGAATAAATGAATGAAATAGGAGAAGCCACAAGAACAGTGTCCATAGCAGCCACATTTTTAGTACAGTATAAGAGTTGAGCTCTTATCCATCTCTTTTTCTAACCTGTTCTAAAGGATGGGAATTTTGAAGACGATAAGGAGGCTGGGACAAAGGCATTGTGAGCAGGTGGGAGGCAGGTCTGTGTAAAAGTACACAAGGGGTTATGGAAAGCCAGAGGACGGCCCGAGAATTCTGAGCTTCCTAGTGTTGGGAGGAAGGAGGCAGATACAGAAAGGGAAAGGGCCAAGACAGACATCCAGGGTTACCTACTTCTCAGTTATTCTCAAGGCTACTGCCACTCCTGGAGACCAAGCCAGTTAGACTAAACCTGTACTTTATCTTGCCCTGACTGGTAAGGGCAGGGATAGGGGAGCCGAATGTCCTGGCATACTGGCTTGTCTCGAATGCTGCCTAAGCAGGAATGGACCATGCCCATCTCTGAGGCTACAAGCAGAAGCCAGGTGCAGAGTGGATAAGGTTATGAGAGCCAAACTATCAGATGAACTGCCATGTTCTGTCAACATACTCACTGGAACGCTTTCAGACTGTGGTCACACAGCAGTTTTCCTGAAAGTTTGCAAAGTCCTTTACAAACATTTGTCTCATCCATCCTCATGTCTTTGGGTGTCTACACTATCCTTCAGCATAATATACTGGGAAGAGCCCCAGCCTGGGAGTCAGAAAACCCAGGCTCATATCACAGATCTGCTGCTTACTAGCTTGTACCACCTTGGATAAGTCTGAGCCTCAATTTCCTCATTTGTAAAATGGAGATAGTTAACACCTGTTCTTCCTATATTGCCAAGATATTATGAGAACTAAATGAATAATGTGATGTATAAAAGGCACTTTACAAACTTTAAAGTGCTACATAAATGTTAGTTATTATTATTCACATAATAAATATAATTCATTTTATTCAATATGATGATCAATAATGATATTGATTATTATGCATATAACAATTGACATTTATGTTGCTCTTTAAGGTTTTAAAAGCACTTTCCATATATTATCTCATTTGATCCTCACCACAACCCTGTGATGTAGGTGCAATTATTATCCCCATTATACCAATAAGGAACATGGGGAACTGAGAAGCTAAGGGACTTACCTAAGGTATATAACAAGTAATTGTGAGTGGCAAGATTCTAACCCAGGTCTTCCTGACTCCAAGTCTGTGGCTCCACTTACAGACTACAGTGATGAAGTCTTTGGGCCATAGCATCTCGTAAACTATCTAGCAAAGCTTAGCAGGACCTCCATTCTTTCTTTGCAAAGGTGGGGGACCATGGGTATGGAATAGGGCATTGGATGGATTGGTTAATTCTGCTAAACTGTGTTGTTGTTACTGTTGTTGTTGTTGTTCTCCTTCTTCTTTTTCTTCATTTTCTTCTTCTTCTTTCTCTTCTTCATTTTCTTCTTTCTTCTTCTTTTCCTTCTTTTTCTTCTTCTTTTTCTTCTTATTCTTTCTTCTTTTTCTTTCTTTCTTTCTTTCGTCTTCTTGTTCTTCTTCTTCTTCTTCTTTCTGGATAGGAGAAGCAGGAGGATTCACAGGATCACAGATGATCCAGAAAGGACTCTGTAACTTCCTGGAGGTCCAACATTCAATCCCCAACCCCACACTGCCTTACACTTAAGCCAGGATTAAGTGGGGTAGGGGAAACAAGGAGACAGATGGGAGACATTGACTTCAAGAGAGGCCCTTGTTAAGTCGTCAAAACAAAGACAGAGACCTAAACTGGGGGGCCAGGGCAGGACCCAGAGGGAGGGTCCCATCACTGTGTGGCTTTCTTTCTCTGTGCAGATGTGATGACAAAACAGCCAAGAAGCTAATGTCTTACTTCGGCCACTTTGGCAGTGATGAACACACCAGTGCCCTGGGGGAGCTGGGAGAGCAGATTGTCACCCTGACGGAGCAGCTGGGTAACATGGGGCAAGATGTGAAGGTGCTCGACACCGGGGACCAGGAGGTAAGAGGCCCAAGGCAGGCTGGTCTGGCTTTTTCACGAGGAAAGATTTCATCTTTGTCCCTTTAGCTTAGAAGGCATCCACACTTCACTGACCACATGAAGCAAGGGCCATATTTCAAATGGTCTGGTCCTCATTTCCCACTTGCCTGCCTGTCAACTGCCTGAGAACTTTCGAAAGAGTTGACAGATAGATAAATAGAAAAACAGACAGAAATACGGAGAGATCATTTGTTTGTTTATTTTTGCCAAATTCAAGACCCAAGGCATCGATTAACCCAGTCAAAATGGTAGTTAGTTGGCTTTCAAATGAAAATTATTGCTGTCCTTTTAAACACATCCCATTGAAATTGGGTGCTGCCTCCTTCCCTTTTTTGCAGAAGCTGGGGATATGGATGTGGAACATTGCATCTACTATCAGACTTGGTTAATGTATTGGTTAGTTTTATGGAATTGATTTCTTTCTCTTCTTTTTATTCTTTGTTACAAGGGATAGCTCTTTGGGACAGGAATGAGGAGATATTTGGAAAGGAAGGTGGTATAAAAACTAAATGTTTTATCAGTAAAAATTATTGATTCAGGGAGCAGCTAGGTGGTGCAGTGGATAGAGCTCTGGCCTTGGAGTCAGGAGGACCTGAGTTCAAATCTGGCGTCAGATACTGGATACTTACTAGCTGTGTGACCCTGGGCAAGTCACTTAACCCCAACTGCCTCACCAAAAATAAAAATAAATTATTGTTTCAAGTTTTATCAAGAAAAAATTTAAATACAATTTTAAAAAACATGGTGCATGGGGACAGATGGCGATCATATGATTGCATGCAAGGGCTTCAGTTCAAAGAAATAATGAGTTTAATTAGCAGTGATGTTTTCTCAGTTTTGTGATCTGCTGGTTGGTTTCTTTGTCTTGTAGCTGCAGAAAATAGGCAGGGTTCAATTCAACAAATATTTGCAAAGTACCTCATATGTGCAAGGCACTGTGAGGGGCCCTGGGGATACAAACACAAAAGTGAGACCATCCCTGCTCTCAAGGAGCTTATGTTTTACCAGAACATACAATAAGCACTCATGTATGAGCGCTGCAAGTGGAGTCAGGAAGTCCAAATCTGGCCTCAGACACTTCCTAGCTGTGTGACCCTGGGCAAGTCACTTAATCCCATTTGCCTCAGTTTCTTCATCTGTAAAAAACGAGCTGGAAAAGGAAATGACAAACTACTCCAGTATCTTTGCCAAGAAATCCCCAAATGGGGTCGTGAAGAATTGGACATGACTGAAAACCACTGAACAACAACAACAAAATAAATACAAGATGATCTGAGGAGGGAGTGAGCATTGATGAAGGCGAGGGGGTGGGGGGCTTCACAGAGGAGGAGTACCTGAGCCTAATCTCGAAGGAAGCTAGAGGTGAGAAAGGAGTACATTCCAGACATATGGAAAGCCCCGGTGAAGACACACAGATAGGAGATGGCACATGGACTTCAGAGAACAGTTAGAAGGGTGCTTTCGGGGACAGCTAGGTGGTGCAGTGGATAGAGCACCGGCCCTGAAGTCAGGAGGACCTGAGTTCAAATCGGGCCTCAGTCCAAACACTTGACACTTACTAGTTGTGTGACCCTGGGCAAGTCACTTAACCCCAATTGTCTAAAAAAAAAAAAAAATGAAGGGTGCTTTGGCCTGATCATAGAGTATGGGAAGGGAAGTGATGTGAACCAGGTATGACATGAGAGCCCGGATATGCAAAGCTCAAAATGTCATTTTAAAGAGTTTGTGTTTTATCCTAAAGGTAACAGAGAACAACAATGTCAGGGGATGGATCAGTGCTTAGGAATGTTAATTTGGCAGCTGGATTTGTTGTTGTTTGGTCATTTTAATTGTTTCTGACTCTCTGACCCTATTTGGGGTTTTCTTGGCAAAGATACTGGAGGGGTTTGCCATTTCCTTCTCCAGCTCATTTTACAGATGAGGAAACTGAGGCAAACACAGTGAAGCAACTTGTCCAGGGTCACACAGATAGTAATTGTGTCAGAGGCCAGATTTGAACTCAGGTCTTCCTGACTCAAAGCCCAGCATCCTGTCCACTGTGCCATTGGCAGCTGGGTAGAAGTGATATAAAAACTAAATGTTTTATCAACAAAAATTATTTATTCACAGTCTATCAAGACAAAATTTTAATACAGTTTTTAAAAAGAAAAGTGGACAAAGAGGAGAATAGATAGAAGTCATATGATTGCATGAGGGCAGAGCGGAGAGACTAGAGCAAGGGTGGGGAACCTGTGGCCCTCTAGGTCCTCAAGTGCAGCCCTTTGACTGAATCTAAACTTGAAGTTTGGAGGCCGCAGGTTCCCCACCTCTAGACCAGAGGCAAGAAGACCAGTTAGAAGGCCATCACAGTAGTCTAGGTGAGAGGCGATGAGATCTTTAACTAGGATAGGAGATGTGTGAACAGACTGAATGATGACACAGTTGCCTTGACCAAGGTGTATAAAAATATGAGTGTAGAATTTCGGAACTCAAAATTAAAAAAAACAAATGTTAAAAATTGTTTTACATGCAATTAGAAAAAAATAAAATATCTTTTTTTAAAATGTGAGTTGTTCTGGAGCTGTGGCCAGGGCATTGCCTTCTTAGAAGAGTCTCAAGGTCTTTTCCAAACAGAATTACATTTTCACACATGGTGGACAGTTGCTGCATTCCATAATGGCCTTAGAGCAAGGCACCTGGGTGCTGAGGGCCTTCTCTTCTCTAATGTGACGCATAACATCCAGGCCACAAAACTCAAGGAGACCCAGCTATTGAGGGCAGTGTTAGGGCTAGGAGCTGGGCTCCCTCTTCCTCTTGTCCTTGAGGTAGCTGTATGCTGTCTAAGAAGGAGATGTGTGTGGCAGGGAGAGCATCCAGAAGCTAAGAGCATGGCAGGTGGTGGTGGGCAAGCAGCAGTCTGGGAAACAGACTGGCCCGTCATAAATTACAAGAGGTGCAATGAGATGTATAGGGGATAGAGGAAGAGATGGAATATTGTTAGAGTAAGAGACGGCCAAATCGAAAGAAAGAAGACTCAGTGACCAGAGTAAGGTTCAGTTCAGCTCCAGAAGGTGGATAGGACATTGTACTAGGTGGCTTCAGGGACCTGGATGCTAGTCTTTGTTCTGACACTTGCTAGTCATGTGACCTTGGCCACATAGCCTGTGTGAGCCTCAGTATTCTTATTTGTAGAATGGGGATAACAATATGCACATTCTCTCCTTAGAATATGGTTGTGTGACTCAAATGAGGTATTGTCCGTAAAGTGCTTTGTAACCCTTTGAGCTACTGTCTGGCATAGTTGAAAGAGCACTGAATCTGAAAATCTGGAGACCCGGATCCCCTCTCCATAACTTGTACTTACTAGCTGTGTGACCACTGACAAGTCGCTTAACCACTCTGTGCCACTGGCTTGGACTGAATGATCTCTGAGGCCCCTTCCATCTCTAAATTTCTAAAATTCCATCTCTAAATCTTTTCTCATCTTCACTCCTCTCTAGGCGACATGACAGGTGAAAGAATAGTTGGATTTAGCGTCTAAGGACCTGGGTTCAAGTCCTGGTTCACTCCCTCATTTTGTATATGACCTTGAGCGAATCACTTAACCCTTCTAGGTCTCAGTTTCTTCATCTGTAAAATGAGAGATTTAGAGTAGATCAGGGGTTTTCAAAGCATGGTCTAGGGACCACTGTCCTCAAGATCGTTTCAGATCTGCAAGGTCAAAACTATTTTCATAATAATACTAAGATGTTTTCATTTGATTATGGTAAATATCAATTGATACATCCCACTAAACAAAAGCTCTTTGGGGCTCTCAACAATTTTTAAGAGTGTAAGGGAAGAGGGGCAGCTAGGTGGCACAGTGGCTAGAGCTCTGGCCTTAGAGTCAGGAGGACCTGAGTTCAAATCCAGTCTCAAACACTTGACACTTACTAGCTGTGTGACCTTGGGCATGTCACTTAACCCCAATCGCCTCACCAAAAAACCAAAAAAAAAAAAAAAAGAGTGTAAGGGAACAAAAAGTTTGAGAACTGTTCGCCTCAATGATGTCTGAAGTCCCTTCAAGTTTTAAATAGATGATCTGAATATCATCTCTCTGTCTCAATTTTTTTTAAATTGCAATTTCTTTCTTTCAATTAACAAAAATTTATTTTCTCTCCCTTGCCACCATAAAAAACCACCTTCATAAGAAATACACAGTCAAGCAAGATAATGTGTCCTAAAAATATATGTCTCATTCTTAAGCCTCAATTTCCTCATCTCTAAAATGAGGATAATAATCCAACACTAAAGGGTTGATGTAAGAAAAATACATAAACCTTAAAATACTATAAAAATGTGAGCTACTGCTGCTTTTTTTAACCACATTTTTCATTAATATAGGTAGTTTCCCATGAGGAACACCCCCCCACTCCCCCCCCCACCCCAACCCTGCCAATGTGTCTCGGTTTCTGGTCTTGGAGAATTGCCTGGCATATTGGGAGGTCAGGTGACTTGCCACACAGCCAGTATGAGGCAGAGATTGGACAAAGGCATTCAAAAGCCAGCTTTCTTCCCCTTGCCTCCATATAGAAACCTTATAGAGAGCCCTAAAGCCCTATCCAACTGTAAGCTATAGACTATATACAATGTACAGGAAGGTGCTTTGTGAAGCACAAAGCAGTATGCCAGCGGTTAGGGATTATCTGACAATGGGAAGGTAGGCATCTGATGGCTCAGGGGCCCCCCAAGAAGGGGCATGTTTGAAGTCTTCCTTTCAGCCCACATGCCTCTGTTTTCTTTCTTCTTTAGTTTCCCATCCCTCCCCTTTCTTCTTGGCTCCCTGGCTTCTATTCACTGAACAAAGTAAATCCTTTGGTGATAACTTGCCCTCTCGGGCTGTCATCCTCAAGTGGTAAAAAAAAAAAAAAAGAAGTCTTTTCTATCTGCTCAAGTCACTCTTCTTTTCTCTTTTCCTCTGGGTGTTGTAATCTTCTCTTTAGAAACATTTAAATAATCATTCGACTGTGAAATGAACTCTCTAGTGAGGCCTGGGAGGGGAATGAAAACCACAGCTCCCAAAAAATAGTGTGAATTAATGGTGTGGACATGGGATTGCAAGGTCAGGGCCTCAGAGGAGGACCTATTGGTTCCCTAGGAAGGAAAATGAGAAAGGAACCAATTTTTGCCTGGGAACCTAAGAGGAGAGAAGAGAAACCAGAGGAGAGGACCGTTGATAAGCTCTTAGAGCTAGAAGAGATCTCAGAGGCCATCCTAGTCCAGACCCTTTATTTCATAGGTGAGGAAACTGAGGGCCAAGGAAGCCAAACAATTTTCCCATGGCCACCTAGGTAGAAAGTAGCAGAACTAGGATTCGAACCCAGGTCATTTGATCTCAAACCAGCATTCCCTCAGGTTACAGACTATGTTTCCAATGTGGTTCAAAAAAATTCCAAAAAGCTATTTGGTATAATGGAATAATGAGCCCTGTGCCAGGAGACCTCGGTTCTAGTACCAATTGTGCCACTAACTTTATAGGTTCCCCTAGGCAGGTCATTTCCCCTTTACACCTGAGTTTCTTCATCTATAAAATAGGAATCCCAATTTCTTCCCTCCTACCTTCCCTCTCTACCAAAGAGCTGTTGAGAGGTTTAGATGTGATCATAGAGCTCTGAAAAATATTCTTGTAGCCCCCATCTAAGCTTTCAGTATCCTTATCCCAACACCCCCTATTACAGTAAATCAGTCACCCCACCCTCACAGTAACAAGCCTCAAGTGTCCACCAGCTCAGAGAGATGACAGCACCTCCTGAGAGGGGTGAAATGAATTGGATTGCTGGACAGCTCCAGTGCTGAATTTCTTCTGTCTCTGGCCAGGTGAAGGAGCCACTTCTCAGTGAAATTCAGCAGAAGGCTGAGGAGAGTGAGCTGCTGAAGATGGAGTTACAGATGCTTGAGACAGAGCGAGTTCGGCTCTCCCTGGTAGAAGAAAAGCTGATGGATGTCCTTCAGCTTCTCCAGAGGCTTCGGGATTTGGTATGCCAACACAACATGGCTCTTTCTGCCACCATCACCTACTTAGAACAGAGTCTCTCATTCAATCCCCACTGGAGACAGCATATAGTCTGTTGGAAAGAGACTCAGAGGGGCAGCTAGGTGGTGCAGTGGATAGAGCACCGGCCCTGAAGTCAGGAGGACCTGAGTTCAAATCCGGCCTCAGACCAAACACTTGACACTTACTGGCTGTGTGACCCTGGGCAAGTCACTTAACCCCAATTGCCTAAAAAAAAAAAAAAAGGAAAAGAAAAAAAAGAGACTCAGACCTAGCTCATTTTCACCTATTCAGTCATTCATTGTGTATTGGAGGTAGCATGGTGATACTGTTAGAAGAGCACTAGACTTGGTGGTAGAGCTGGGATCAGAACTGAGGGCTCCTGCCTGCTAGTCCCACCATTCTTTCCACTACCCCGGAGATGTACATTTGAATGTGAGTATGGAGTCCACATGGGTCTCTGATTACTCCTATTGCTGCCAGAGACCTTATTTCATTGGCCCACTTCAAGAAAAAGCTGGGCCATTTGCTGGCAGTGTTATAGAGGGTTTTGGTCAGCTCTTCATTGGACTAGATGATTTCTAAGGTCCTACCAATTCTGAGATACTGTGATTTGTAAGATCCTAGATTTGGAACTGGAACCCAACCACAGAGAAGTAAAATGCCTTGTTCATGGCCACAAAGCTAGTGTTTGTCAGAAGTAGGATCTGAACTCCAGTCTTCTGGACTCTGAACCAGCTTTCTATATAGGATACTATGCTTCTCATACTAATGATATGATGGTGACATGCTGTATAGAATGATCTATTTCATGTGTTTATTCCTTTTTAAGAACATATCAAAAAGAGTCTTGGGGAAAATGTTGCTGAACACCTTGGAATCCTGTCAGGATCCCCAACATGGTAGGAAAGCTCCTTGGTAATTAAAATCATTTCTGTACCTTATTATTCTGAAATAAGTAACTAGAGGGCAAGGGTGGAGGGAGAGATGGGAACAGGGGAGATCAGTTTCTTACGATGATATGCTGGTCCTAAAAAAGAACTGCCTGAAAAATAATCCATCAACATTCAGAATCAAAGTTCAAATTAAGCCTGCAGAACAGTTTGGTTCTTAGGTGATATTAGCAAGCCAGAGGCTTACCTGCTCTTCTTCCTAGCATGACAGCTAGGTCCCCACGGAGCTGTAACAAGCACTGGAGTTTTCAATTACAAAATATACCCTGAATTTAAGGCAAGAAGTGGAGGGGGGATGGGGACCAGGGACTTGGGGTGTCTTTTCAGTCGCCCTCCAATTTTGCCAAATGCCCTTATCTCCTTTCCCAAACCTTCCCCCAAGCTTCTAACCTTTACCCTGCCCCCCATTCCAAGACTCCAGGTAAAAGTTTCCCTACATTCAGTATCTTAACATCAAAAACTGCTTAACTAGCCAAAGTCCTCATATGCTACTGTCCTGGAGCATTGGAGACAGAGAGAGAGGGAGAGAGAGAGCGCAACCAATTCATGATGGAAGCCTGGACCATGCTGAGAATGCATAGGTTCATTACACTTGTACCCACTATCCAGGTTCCCATAGGATGTCTGGCTTCCCACAGCACTGATGTTGAAAGGAAAGAACCTATATGGCTATAGAATCCTAGAAGAGAGCCATAGAATGCCATAGCTAGAAGGGATCTTTGGTCCCAGCCCCTCATAGACATGTATGGTGTTTCCTCATATCAGATGGAAAGCTTTTCCCATAGATCATCTCTGAGCTTTCATTTTTTTAAATCCCTCTTTTTTGTTGTTGTGGCTACCTAAAATACTAAGTAAATGAAATAACTTAAGTGGTAGCCATTGTTTTCATCCTAAACCTTCCAGAGCCTCGGAAGGCAGCACAGCACAAAGGATAGTGTGCTGGATTTAGAGACAAGAGGAACTCAGATCAAATCCTGCCTCAGACCCTTAATAGCTATGTGACACTGGGCAAGTCATTTAACTCCTCTGAACCTCAGTTTCCTCATCTGAAAACTGAGGCAATTGGCTAGATGAGGAGCTCTTCACCTTTTTTTGCATCACAGACCCTTTTGGCTATCTGTTGAAACTAAAGACTGCTTTTCACAATAATGTACCAAGTGAATAAAATAAAATACATAGGATTACAAAAGAAACCCATTATATAGAAATAGAGTTATTGGATTTTTTTTTTAAAGCAAGTTCACAGATCCCCTGAAATCTATCTGTGGAGCCCAGGTTAAAAACCCCTGGAATAGATATTGGCCTTTGAGGCCCCTTCCAAACTTTAGAGCCATGATTTTATAATCTCTGAAACAGGGGCTAACATCCTCATTCCCACCTATTTCTTATGGGTGTTTTGAGGATAGAATAAGATGAGACAGGAAAGTGCTTGGAAAGCTTAAACATTGCTCTTCAAAGAAATGAACTGGAATGAAGACTAAACTAGAATAATCTGGCGAGGGCTGGGCAAGACTTCCTTGAAAGTTCAGATTTTGAAGCTTTCTTCTATTCAGCACCCTAAATGACCTCCCTCCTGTTGTTAGTTTTGCAGAAAAAATCTGCATACAAAGGGAGGAATGGAGGAGTGCAGGAGAAGGAGGAGTCCCAGAGGAAGCCCCCGGCAGGGCAGCGGGGAATGCAGTGGGAGGTCCCAGGGAATCCAAATAAAAGAAAACAAGGGCCCCTCCTGCTGCATGGCTTCCACAGGCTAGGCATTTCCAGCCCCCCACCAAGGAAAACCTGCTGCCCCAAATCCAACCCAAATGTGGGTTTGGGATCTCGACCAAATATAGGCCCTGCCCCTTCTCAGCCAAGGCTACATGTGGTTCCTGATGGCACCAGAACTAAGAGAATCTCCCACTGTTCTCTAAGCTGCTTTTGGCCAGAAGCGGCTGGCAGATCTGCTTTGGCAGCAGCTGGAGGCTCTGGGGGGCGGGAGACAGGGCAGGGCGGGGAGTGCTCTGAGACAGGGAACCCGAATCCTGCTTGGGGCTAAGCTCACTCCAGCCTGGAAGACAAACAGAAAACAGCCCCAGGAGGCTCAGAGGCATTTTCCAAAGTGCCAAAACCTATGCAGTCTCCTCCTCTCCCCCCCAGGCTCACCCTGAATCTCAACCTTTCCAAATTCCCCATCTTTTCAAAACATACGTTCATTGAGGACCGCGTTCTATGCTAGGGATCATGAGAGATATAAAAATGAACAATTCAGTTCAACCTACATTTATTATAAACACCAGTCCTGTACAAGACACGAAGACATTGTTCCAGTCTTTGTGGAGTTTACAATTCAGCTAGGGATTGTATGTTTTGAAAATATTCATATGACATATAATAACAATACATTAATATAAGACAGAATGCTAGCTGTGGGACCCTGGGCGAGTCACTTAACCCCGATTGCCTCACCAAAAAAAGCCTATATATACAAGCTTTTTATATTATATATTTATATAATATACATATAAGAATGTGATCAGCATTATATAAGACTGGGCCAGTGCAAAAGCCTCCTAAATCATCTCCAATCTACCCTCCAATCCAAAGTGATTTTCCCAAGTCAATGAGTATGACCATGTTCCCCACTGCCTCAATAAATTCCAGTGGCTTCCTATTACCTCCGGGACCAAATGTAAAGTCCTCTAGCATTTAAAATCCTTCCAACCTGGCTCCTGCTTAGTTCTTAGCCTTATCATGATTTATTCTCCACTGCACACACTAGAGCCCAGCCAAATTAGCCTCGCTATTGCTCACGCACGGCACTCCATCTCCTGTCTCCCTGGGATGAGTGTCCTCCTCCCCTCCACCCCCTTGACTCCCTCGGGCCTTTCTAGGATCAGCCCGAGTACCACCTTCTACGTGTATTCTTACATCTGCACCTGTTGTCTCCCTTCGCTAGAGTCCTCTAAAACAGAAATTGTTTAACTTCTGTCTTCGTATCACAGGTGCCTGATAGAGTTGCTGCTTAATAAATGCTTGTGGGTTGATGGATTGGGGCAGGGAGGGGGCTCTTACCCCAAAGGTTTGCCGGCCTCAGCCCTGAAGTCATGCTGTGCTTTTGCCTCCTGGTTCTCCCCTACAGAGAAGGCCCACACCTTCGAAGTCCTAGATGCCTTGTACCGGACACTGGCTAGCTGCGAGCTCCTGCAGAAACAGCCTTTGGAGCAGGCCCAGGTACCCCAGGCTCTCGCCAACCAGCTCATCATCTCCTGTTGAGCATCGGTGTCCTTTGCAGCTCTGAAGAAACCCCCGCCCCCAACCGGGCTCAAGATCTGCAGCCGTCAGACTGTTAAATACAAGTGGACACCTCTGCTGGACCCACCAAGTACAGAACCTCTGCCAAGGGACCCCTTGGACACTTGGCCCTGGGCCCTCCTAGGGTCTCCCATTGCTGATAAGACACCGCCCCCACCTCCCATATTATACTATGGAGGGCAAGGCTGGGCCCAGAGCTGGTCTGAGAGACTGATGGAGCCCCACGAGTCAGAGCCAACACCTGCGTGTGGTCAAGGCTGCCCTAGTCAAGACCCTCCTGCCTTGGAGAGTGTATTTCTCCCTTTGATGAAATGGTGCTTTTGGCCTTCATCTTGACCATTTTTCTTATGGGCCTTTTCTAGCTTCCTATTTATGCTGATAAATCTCAGGCTAAACCTGTCAGATTTTATCTCAGATTAAAGCGGTCAGCCCTTTCCTGACGTCCTGTACCTCCTGCAATCCCTACAGTCCCTGGAGAGTGTGGCCTTCCTCCTGCCATAAGATTCCCTCTCTTCCCAGTCTGAGATCCCCTCCCCTAAAACCAGGGAAACCAGGCAACCCTCCAGGCTTTAATGAAACCCAGATGCATGCCCAGCACCACCCTAGGCACTGGAGGAGGAGGAGAGAACAAAAAATAAAAATAAAAAGATGCCCCGGCCCACAAGAAGTTTACAAGCTGCTGGCAGCCCTGGCTTCCTATGAAATAACTGGGCTCGATTATTGGCCTCAGTTAAGGGCTCGACTGTGTTACCAGCATCCAGGTGGATTTCAAAGCATTAGTGTGGACTGGAGTAGTCATGGAAGGCTCCATGGAGGAGATGGAAGGTGACTTGGCTTCAAAGGATGGGTAGGATTTAGCTAAACAAAGGCAGTAGTTTGAATGGACTTAGGAATGGCATTGAAGGTTGAGAAAATTAGCATGGGAAAGGCAGGCAGAAACAGTAAGGAGTATGATGGGACCATGAAGAGACCCGCCTGCCTGGTACAGATTCATATATTAAGATAGAAAGATGAGGACACAATGGGGGTACTCATATATAGAAGGCCTTGAATGCCAAGCAAAAGAGTTTAAACTTTATGAATAGGAAGTAGGGAGTTACGGCAGATTCTTGAGCGGGGGAATGTCATGCTGAAAACAGTTTCAGGACAATTCATATGTTGGCACCATGATAGACCCCAGAGCACACCAATAATCCAAGAGGAATGCTCTCTCAACCAAAAGTAACTCCCCTGTAGCCTTTTCAGGAAAGACGCTCCCTGTCTTTCTTGGGGTGGGAAGGGAAGGTGCCAAAAGCCAGAGCAACAGGTATGCTGTGTGGAGAGCTGAGAGCTGTTCTTGTCCAAGCCATGCCTGAAGAGCTCCAAATTCCCAGAAGAAGATGGTAAAAGAGGACTAAAAGTCAGGAGACCTGAGTGCGAATCCTGGAGCTACTAACATACTACGTAGTGAATACTTACTGAGCTTCTCTGTGTCCCTGCTCAGTGACAGAGAAGTCCAGTCAAGTCAAATGGGCCCTGCCCTCTAGGACCTTCTAGTCTAGTTAGGGGGGCAAGATACCTACACATAAGTTAAATATCAATATAGTACAGCTTAGGCTAATGAGGCAGTATAGACGAGAAGGGCAGGAGGAGAGAAAGCTCAGTGTGGGCTGAAGAGATCAGGGAAGGTTTCCTGGAGGAGGCAACACAGCTTGAACTTGGTTCTTTTTTAAAATTCTATTTTCTTCTTACTAGCTGTGTGACCCTGGGCAAGTCACTTAACCCCAATTGCCTAAAAAAAAAATCTTTTTTCTTTTTTTCGTGAGACAATTGGGGTTATGTGACTTGCCTAGGGTCACACAGCTAGTAAATGTTAGCATCTGAGGCTGTATTTGAACTCAGGTCCTCCATGACTCCAGGGCCGGTGCTCTATCCACTGCACCACCTGGAGCTTAGTTCTTCAAAAATAAGCAAGATTCAGATAAGTTGAGAAGGAGAAGAGTGTTCCAGGTGTGTGAACAAAGGTTAAGAAACATAAAGTGGGGAAGAGCCAATGAGAAACCCAGCCTGGCCGGAGCAGAGCATACGTGTGGGTGGTGTCACAGGGAGGAGAGATTATGGCTAAAATGAAATAACAGGGAGGAAAAAAAGCAGGTGTTGCTATAGAAACACAAGGCGGCAACATCACTATGCTTATAACCAAAACATTGTCCAGTGGAGAGAATCCCAGCTCAGGAGCTGAGAGCTAACTCATGGTCTCAGCTTTGCCCCTTTCAAGCTGTGTGACCTTGGGCAAGTCACTTAACCCCAATTGACACTTTCTGAGTGTCTGTGTCCTCTACAAAAGGGAGTTGGACCCATTGACATCAAAGGTTCTTTCCAGCTCTAACATTTTGTGATTCAAAGAGATTCCAGAAGGGTCTAGAATAGCTAACAGAAAGCTCTCAGCATCCGTAGTACACATACGTGTGTGTGCATGTGTATGTGCACAGACCTCTTTAAAGGAAAGGCTGCAGAGGGTAGTAGCTGGCTGTTTCAACCTGTTTCTATCTGTATTTTCTCTCCCCAAAGGAAAGAATTAGCAGTAATTCTTCCATGTTGAATTCATTTGATTTTAAATGAATGCGAAAGTATCCTCTAAACGCTCCAAGATGCGACAGGTATTCCTCTTCCTGTGCCCTCTCTTCCCACCCATCTGCCCTCAGCCTTTTGCTGCTCAGTGGTCCTAGAAGGAACTGAGCTCTGCGGTTCCATCAGAAGAATCCAGAGTCAGTCACACTCTGCCCTTGGGGTCTGAGCAAAGTCCCACATTAAGGGATGTGCCAGGAAGAGAGAGGAGAGCTTTTGAGGAGGAATTAGATTGAGTTCCTCAACGGAGAGAGAACCCAGAGAAGTCTGACCTAACTTTTGGAGCATCAGAATCCCAGATTGGGCCCAGAAATCCACGTGAAGTGGGGCAGGGGAGATCATGGAAGTTCTCTGGCCAATTTGATCGAGCAGAGAAGGTGGTGAACTCCCTAAAGGGGTTATAGACGTGGCCCTTGGCACCTCCTAGCTAGTGGATTTCCCTGGCACAGGCTGCCCCCAAGAGAAATTGCTTGCCTTTTAGCATATCAGACCTGTGGAGGGAGCCAGCCTTCATCAGTGAAATACTGTACCTGCTGATAATACAAGGGACCCCAATGTTCAATTCAGTTCAAGTCAACAAATATTGATTAAACAGAGCACTGTTTTAGGCACTGGGGGAGATACAAAGATAAAGTCTCAGGGTGAAATTTATGTCAGGAGCATGTCAAGAGAGGCCTTGATTTGGAGCCTTTGGAGAGAGTAAGACAGTGATTGATTCTAGTGAGATGAGTCAGATAGAAATTTCCAAAGAATTTGTTGGGGTTCTGCATCTCCTCGTCTGTATATTTCGATGTTGTTATTGGTTAGTTGTTTCAGTTGTGTCCAATTCTTCGTGACCCCATTTGGGATTTTCTTGGCAGAGATACAGAAACAGTTTGTCATTCCTTCAGCTCATTTTTACACATGAGGAAACTGAGGCAAACAGGGTTAAGTGACTTGCACAGGGTCACACAGCTAGCAAGTGTCTGAGGGTGGATTTGAACTCAGAAAGATGAGTCTTCCTGATACCAGGACTGGCACTCTAACCAAAGCACCACCTAACTGCCCTTATGTGTTTATACATCAGCTAAAAAAATAACTTATTTCAGTACTTTCAAGGTTCTGAGGTACATAGTAGAGTGCAAAGCATAGATCTTAGCATCAGAGGACCTGAATTCAAATCCCACTTCTGATGCCACGTGTGTGATTTTGGTCAAATCATTTAACCTCCCCGGGCCTCATTTTCCACATCTGTAAAACGAAGGGGGTTGGTTCTGACAGAAAAGTGATAGACTTGGGGCAGCTAGGTGGCTCAGTGGATAGAGCACCGGCCCTGGAGTCAGGAGGACCTGAGTTCAAATCCAGTCTCAGACCAGACACTTGACAATTACTAACTGTGTGAGCCTGGGCAAGTCACTTAACCCCAATTGCCTTGCCAAAAAAAAAAAAAGTGATAGACTCGAGACAGAAAATGAGACAGACATTTCTGCTCAGGGCCAATGTGGTCATTTCTTTTGCTTAACTATATATATTTGTTACAAGGGGTTTGTTTTTCTTTTTCCAGTGGGAGAGGGATAAAGGTGAGAGGCGAACAAAATGCATGCTTGTGAATTAAGAAATTTAATTTTTTTTTTAAATTAAAGGGTTAGGCTAGATGGGCTCTGAGGTCCCTTCCAACTCTATATCTATGATCCCCCATGATCCAATTAAGAAGGACTAATTAAGCATCTGCTCGTGCAGGTACCATGTAGGTGTTGGGGCTAGACCTTAAATTCTACTGGCATGTTCACTTCTCCCACTGATGTAAGTCACAACCCTTTTACACTTTAGCTTATGGTCTCATGAGTTGCTGTGACCAAAGCCTTCATCTCCTAGTCAATCAATCAATCAAAAAGTATTTATTAAGTTTCAATCAGTCAGCTAGCATTTATTAAGTGCGTACTCTATGCCAAGCATTGTGCTAATCACCAGGGATTTAAAAAAAAAAAAGCAAGAGACAGTCCCTTCTCTTAAGGAGCTTACTTACAGTCTCCAGTGTCTAGACTCTGTGTGAGATGCTAGGGATATAAAGACAAAAGCCTTGCCTTCGGGTAGCTTACATTCTATCAGGTACCCAATTTGTTGATGAGACTCTGAACTTAGTTACCGAGGTCTTATTCAGATCATAGACATACTGTCTTAAGTACAGTATTGACAGAGTGGAATTAAAACTCTTCCAACTTATGGAATTATACAAGAATTTGTACTGTGCTAGGATGGCCTTTAAGAAACAAGGTCTGCTCTATCATCATCATTATTAGTGAGACTTTAGTGAAGGAAAATTACTGTATCATAAACTTGACCTAAAAAGCTAATGTGCTACACTAATTGACATTAAACATTTAATTAATCATCTTGCTGCCTTTTTAGAATTCAAGCGGGTTTCTGGGGATGATTTGGATGGCTCAGGCTCTCAAAGAATCTTCCCAGAGAAGTTTCAACTGATGCCTAGATGTTTTCTCCACAAATTTCACAGAATTGCAGATTTCAGAGTTGGAAGAGAATTCATCAACCATCTAGACCAATCCATAGCCACAAAAGAAGAGCTACAGTTCTCCTGTATCACATATTTGACCTGAAAACTCAGATGCTCCAATAATTAACACTTGATCTCTCTATAGCAGAAACATTCAAAGCAATCCTGCTGACCTCAGAGATGAGTTTAGTGGATTTGTTTAAGACCTTGGTCAAGTCATGCCTTGGTTTCTTTATTTGTAACATGAAAGGGTCAGACCAGGTCCCGTCTCTCTTCACTTTCTCTCCACGGTTCCTGCAACTTCAAACCAAGGCTATTCGGAGATCCTGTCCAGCTTTCAGTCTATGATCCTACGATCTCTACTTCCTCCAAAAGAAGTTATAGCTTTCCATTTTGCCCTCATATGTATGCAAACCATGGAATGAGTAAATATTACCACATTGAAAACTGAAATGTAGATATAACTGTCTTGAGACTATGGACCTGCTCCTCCAACATATATGCACATTGGCAGGTGGGGTTCCCAGAGCATGGATAACCTCATCTTTCCCTCAGGGTCCTAGGGGCACCCCCTAGGGGAATAGGGGTCTTCTAATGCTATTGGATTGAGCTCCTACTCAATGTGTTCCGCCCAATATCATCACCAGTGATTAGCGATCATTTTACCCTTGTATTGATACCTCCTCAATATCATCAATAAGCAATTAATATCAATTAGCTTTTATAAAGGGATATATACTGAAAAGATAAAGCAAGAACAAAAGAATAAACACATTACCCTGAATCAAGGCACACTATCCCCTCTGCCACTTTGGGCCCTGGGGAGAGTGAGTTCAACCTCAAAGTGGTTGTTACTAAAAAGTCTCTCTAGAAGTTGACTTCTGGGTGTGACACAGCCCTGGAAAATGTACTCCCCTGCCTGCAGGCAATGGCATGTTGGCCACTAAGTAGATTCACTGCTGGGCTGGCTTGCACAGGTTGTTCTTGGAGTTTTGTTTGTATTGGCTATGGCCTTCATGGCAGTCTCCCCCTCTCTACACATCTGGTGGCTCCTCCAACCCTTTGAAGGCCACAAGATCACAGCCTGGTCCACTCCATCTCAATACTCATTCCCCTAAAAGCAAAGAGGAACAAAGACACAAAGGTGTCATGTGTTTTTAGCCTTGTGTCCACCCAGGTAGGAAAGAAGATGGCGCCAGCAACCATTCTTGACTTGCTCACCACTATGAAAGGAAGACATTGTTCTGTTGTCAAAGACTTTTCTATTCACCCTCTAGTTTTAACTCAGCAGCCAATTAAAACGTTTGTCTTCACTGCACAGTTGTAATAGGATCAATATCTACCAACATTCCCCCAAAACGGTATTAGCTCATGTCTCCTCCTACCCTGATTTGAGAGAGATTAGCTTTCCCCAGGACCTTATTGGTCCATGCTTCTTTCCCCATCACCTCCAATATGGGTTAACCTCAGGTCTCCCCTATGACAGGGATTAGCTTTCCCTAAAAAGAGTCCAAACTATCCACAGGACCTAATTGACTCAACTTGCCTGACTCAGCTTCCTGGTCACCTAAGGGTGTAAAAAATCCCAGCCATGTGGAGCTTAAGCCCCTCAAACCTGGTGAGTGCCTGAAACCATGAGAATCTCCATACCCTGATCTGCTGACC